GAGAAGGACCACGCTCTCATAGAATACCAGCGTAAAATAGCAGCTTAACAATGCTGTGTTTCGTATGGTGAGTGTAGAGAACCGGAGACCCCTTTTACTGGAAAAGAGGCATTCCATCTTAGTCCTCATGGGTGACGAATAGGCTTGCCAACCGTCCCGGATTTTCCGGGACGTCCCGCTTCTGGGTCAATATTGGACCGTCCCGCCGTAACCCCTTGCGAGACGCCTTTTGTCCCGGAAATCAGTGAGTATATAATATTAGTATCTATCTCGTTCCAACTACTTAGCAGTAGCTTCTCTTTGTGAAAATGCATGGACAGACAGCAGAAATAAGCTGTTTGTTGACCACGTCAAGGCTGAACTACAAATTATTATTGATCAAAAATGCAGTGAATTTTGTAACTACGTATTGCAAAACAAAACTTGTTAAAATGTGCAAAATCGCAAAATAGGTACAGTTTAAAAAAATTATTAAAAATTTAAAATGTTTGTCAAATATTTGTATTGTTTTTTTTATTATAAAAAAAATATAATAGTGTTTTTTTTTTCTAACCAATTTGTATGTGGTGTGTTGTGTCCCGCGTAATAAACCCAAGTCCCGGATGTCGAGCTGGGTAATCCCGGAAATGCCTTTTTTGAAGTTGGCAAGCCTAGTGACAAAGCATCTGCATTTTGATCCGCAAACAATGATAGATGTAGAAGTCTATGGGCCACAGCAACCATTTACCATCAGGTGGACTGTGTGCTCGTTTGTCACTCTATCCTATAAAAAAAAACATAAGCAAAGCATAATAAAGATAATAATTCTACAGCGTCAAATCAGTCACAGTCAAAAATATGTACATACAAATGCAATGTAAGCAAAACATATGTAAACACGGAGACATCTATAGATACGCAGTACAGTTCTGGAGATATATCAACCAAGTGCACGAGCCGGTCGTCACAATCCAGTCCGAATAGGCTATGGTAGATAGAGACAGGTGTGTGAATCTGTCACAGCAGGCCACAGCAGGCAGACTAAGTTGTGTATGTCCTTGTCATGTCAAATTCAACGTTTCAAAGCAGACTGCTTATTTTGTTGTGTAGCTTCTACGTAGAATGTATCAGAGGTGTGTGAAATGCCTTATTAATGATCTCAATTTATATAAATCTAGTTTTTCAACCAGTAACAGTAGCTCTCTGTATTTCACAGTATACGATATGGAGAGTGTGCGCAGGCATTACATTAATTAATTCCACCCTCTCTCTTCCATCCATTTATTGTCAACATACCACATTATCAACCTCAAAGGTGTGATTCGTTTTAATCCGTACAGCAAAGGAATGGTAGAATTTGCTAGCGTTTAGTCTGTCTTTCCACCCGATAACGACAACAAAGGCAAAAAGGCTTTTGTTCACCTAACCCAACGCACTATTCCGTCTTTGGCTACTTCACATACTCGTACCAATATATCGTACAATACGAGTGGTCAAACACTTACCTATTATATTAGATAAAAATTAAATAAGCGACATCTATTTCTATAATTTTTCTTCTTTAGATATACTTTAAATTATATATTATAATGTATAAAAATATATTATGCATAATATGTTTTAGTTATTTTGAAAGCTTTCTTTTAACACCTGCTAATTTTTCTACCGACTTCAAAAAGGAGACGGTACTCTATTCGACTGTATGTTTTTTTTATGTATGTTACCTCATAACTTTTATCTGGGTGAAACGATTGCGATGATTCTTTTTTATTTGAAAGCTGGTGCCTCTCATGTGGTCCCATTTAAATTTGATCAAGGTCTGACCAAAAGTTTTTGAGTTAAGAATAATTTATATTGAAGTCGGTTGTACAAAATTTTTAATTATTATTTCACCATTTTCCATAACGCATTAAGGCCAATCCTTAGCTTAACGTGTCTTTTAATAAAGATTAAATAAATAAACGTTAAAGAAACTTTAGTAGTTACTCTCTAATAAGCTACTCGTATAATCCATAAAATAATTACCATATGTCTAATTAACATACGAAGTTGGAATACCGTGTGTTTCAAATAATCCATGTATATAATATACAGGTTGTTCGGTAATGAATGGATAACCTAATTAACCTAATTATGTTGTAGCCAACTAGCTTAATTAGCCTTTCTGTTAACAGTCTAGCCTTTTTACTAAACTTCGCCGTTGAACTAGCGGCCTGAATGATATTCCTGAATATAACACATATTGCATAGGTACAGACTAGCGACCGTCTCGTTAAGTAAAATTAATAAGTGAAATTAATAGGTGACTATGCCATAGTTAGCAGGACATATACACGGCATAAAGTAACACGGGACTAACCTTAATTATTTAAGATCGATGTGGTATATGATGTGGGAACAAGTGACCATGCTAACTTAAATTTATTTATTTATTCACTCCTTTAGTAAATAAAATAATGATGGTATCCGAGTATCAAAATGTCAACTGCACAGGTAATATTATATTACCAAAGATATAGTGGTATAGTACTAACTTAAAGACTCCTCGCCCAAACCTACCCATGTCCAAAAATTATATTAAAATAGATGATCGTATAGACAGTGGTAACTAGATATCGATGTAATACATTTTATTTCTCGGAAAAACTTTTTTATTAACTTTTTACGTAGTTGAACCACGCTGCAGCTCCGGCACGAGTAAGTCGGCTCGAGCGGTGTACGACCACGCTTTCATAGAATACCAGCGTGAAACAGCAGAATAATGCTACCGTGTTTCGTATCCTGAGTGTAGGGAACCGGAGACCCCTTTTACTGGTAATGAGTGAGAAAGAGCCTGCATTTTGAGTCTGAATCAAGGACAGATGTAGCTGTCTGTGGGCCACAGCATCCACTTACCACTCTTATGCTACAAAAACGTACGTGAGTGTCGCGGGACACTCGGTTGGAACGTGGTTCCTTTCGTAGTATATTATTGTTGTTAAACGTATTATATTATTGATTAAAAAATACAAATAAATTAATTACTAGCTAGAGTCTATTAAAATGAAGCGTCATATAAAATAATATTTCTTTCATGGCAAGATAAGAAAAAGTGCGAGTGAGATGGATATTATTCTCTCACTCGCAATATAGAAAGGGGCCCATAACGGAAAAATCTTACACTTTTTCTCGCCTAGCTCCCATCCGCGAAATTCGTAGGGAACGTTCGGATTCGTTCGTAAGGAACTTTGTTTCAAAAAATCAGTAGAGTAGTAAGTAGCTTACTTGGAGCGTGAAGGTCTTCCCAGGGTGTGTTTCTTCATCACCGAGCAGGTTGTAAATTAGTTCGTTATACTAAAATTAACAATTTTATTGGTTTCTGTAGATAGGTAGAACTCAGATCATCGTAATCATTATCTTCAACATCGAATGACACAAGACACATTCCTGAGCCACCAGCAACCATCGACTTTCTGCATGTCTTACCTCTTCGTCAGTACTCCATCTTGTGAAGGGCCGCGTTACACTTCGAGTAGCGAAGAGGAAGCCACTTGAGAATTTTTTTTCCCCATAAGTAGATCCAACTCAGACCGATTGCGTGAAATTATTAATGAACGCTCTGTCCTTCTAGTCAAGCTACCACTATGCTAGACCATAAGCTATACAATATAATATAATATGGTTATTTTTTTTTAATAATAATTGTCTTCTCAAATTCAATTATTGTTTTATTCTAAGTGTTACTTTTGCGTTTACTATTGTCAATTGTTTTTAAAATTTTTTTGTAATCTACATATTAACATATTTTAGAAGCCTTAGTCCTCAACATCACCAACATCGTCACTATAGTCATTCACAAATCCACTGCTGAATATTTGATTCGATATAAGAGGTGGATATTCATACTGGCAGTGTATAAATATCCACCTCTTCAATCTTCTCGTGGGTGTCGTAAGAAGCGACAGAGAGAAACAAACGCGGAGATGGGTAGCAGCGTATTCCTAATAATAACCAAAGACTAAAAAAACTGTGGTTGCCACCACCCATCTGGCAAGCATGGCAGCTATGGCAAAATCCCGCCTACAATATATGGGGAGGCCTATATTCAGCAGTGGGCTTTTGATAGTCTGCAACGGCAGCGGTAAGCTCGAGCTTATCTTAAGTACTATTGATTTAGCACTTTCTGTCCTTTTTGCGTTGGCAATATAATTAATTTCCTTCCGTTATAATTTAATTATGTCTTAAATATTTATGATATAATCGGGAAGTACGGTTACGTAGAATATTAAATGATAAAGAGATTAACGTATAGTGAGTGTGTAGGGAAATCTATTTTCCCATATTATCATCCCTATAAGAGGCGAAAGAAGTAAACTGAAACAGAAAATAGACAGGAGCATCTTGTTGATAACAACTGAAGATAATGATGGAAACTAGTAAAACTAGTAAAAACTACTAATAAAGGTTGCCAAGCGTAGCAACTATGGCAACATGCGTCCTATGATAAAATCTATAGGTGAGGCCTATTCAGCGTTGAACTTTCTTTTCTGTTGCTTTTCTTCTCATGTCAGAAAAAAACTTATTTGGAAATACTGTTACAGCGTATCAAAAGTCGATAAACAACTGCTAAGCCAGGAGAATTGTAAGTGCGTAGACGGCCTTTTAAAAAGGAGTAAACTCGTTTCTTCAAGGTCCCTAAGTCGCCTAAAACCGCCGGAAGTAAACAATTTCACAAAGTAATAGTGCGAGGAAGAAAACTCATAGTAAATAGCACAATAGTGGACTGCCAAGCATTTGGATGATGTGGATGGATGACTAGATAACGTCATAAGCAACTATTTCGAATATCTCTCATATTTACCATAGTTGATTTTTTATTTTTGTAGTACGAATGGGTCAGCTCGATCATGGAAGGATCACGCTCTCAAAAAATACCAGCGTGAAATAGCAGCTTAATTCTGCTGTTTCGTATGGTGAGTGTAGAGAGCCGGAGACCCTTTTTACTGCTGGCGTGACGCATGCAACGTGATCCCTGTTCGCAGGTGCTACAATCGGGCAACCTTCTGCGTGGTAACAAACTACTCGGTAACTTCAAGCTCGACGTCGCCACTGTATGGAATCAACCAGGTACGTTAACAAACACTACACGCTATCCAGATTTAGTACTCATTAAATTCAATTCAAACATTAAAAAATACATACTGTAGACTTCTAAATCGTTGTAAAACATTGAATGAAACTAATTTTTACGGATTTTATCGCGTTTAATCTAACTATTTAATTCCCCACGTTTCGGGTGCTTTACAGCACCCGTGGTCACGGGGGGGGGGAGGGGGGACCTAGGGTGTTTGACACTGAGGTTTTGTTTCATTCAATGTGTAGTCTTCGTGTAAATATAAGAAATCATTACGTTGTAAAACATTTTATATACAACTAGGTAAATGGTATAAGTTCAATAGGTACTTTGATAAAACTGTTGTTATATGTATAGTTATTAGGCCTAAATATTGTTTTCTTACATTTATTAATGGTATGTGTGTCATAAAAAGACCCACTTTATCGTTTTACTCTTTATTTTTATAAAATAATTTTGAAAATTTGTCTACAAGTTTAAATATTAAATACTTATATACGTAGGTACTAACGACACTAATCGAAGAAAAAGTCTTTAAACATTAAAATAATTTTAGCTGTGCAACACTAGAGAGACATTGGTAGAAAATTTAACATTATAAAACTCCATATCTCTCGCTATCCATATCTATAAAGTTCAAATTATTCTACTTTTACATATTAAATTCATTCTATTTTTTTTTTCATTATGTTTATTCATATAAATGCTAAAACTCTAAAAACCATTACACAAACATTGAATAGGAATTGAAAGTCTTCATTGCACGCCCGGCAGCAGAGATCAACCAGTGGTGGTGGGCGTGACCCCTGAGTGGACGTTTAACTCAGAACCTGCCGCCCTTTCTCAAAAGAAAGGTTTGAGGACTTAGATTACGGGTCCCTAAGGAATGGTCCCGGTCTTGACATCAGTCATTAGTGGACTCTTCTTATTCCCTAACTACTTAGGGTAGACAGATACTGAGGAATTTTGAAATGAAACATTGATTAATCACGAAAGCCCTAAATGCTTTCTTTGCAATACAATACAATACAATACTCTTTATTGCACACCAAAAAAAGTCAAAAATATCAAAAAGAAAAAATAATTGAGGGATATACAAAGGGCTATCTTATTGCTACATAGCAATCTTTTCCAGAAAACGCAGAAGAAATAAATAAGAAAAAGAACAATGGGTAGGGTGCACTAAAATACAAAAATAAAAATAGAGATACAAGCTTATGCATTAATAAGACAACATTCTTCAGGTAGATTAATGACCATAACTAAGCGGAGGAAAGGAGAGCGGTTAGAGAGACAAATAGTATTCCTTAACCTGTTTCTAGAACACATATAAGGATGAAGCACTTTTAATTGACTGGGTTAAGGAGTTCCAAAGTCTTACTCCAAGAGCAGAAAATGATTTGTCATAATAAGTCGAGGAGTGCCCAGGACGTAGGAGGGAAAGATTTATTTGGATCGTAAGGAAAAATTATGACAGGAGCTGAGTAATTTAAAACGTACTTTTAGATAGGAAGGACTTGATATATTAAATAAGATGCAGTAGAGTGCAGAAAGTATATGAGTATTCCGACGAAGACGGATTGGGAGCCACTTGAGCTTAGTGCGGTATTCTGAGATGTGGCCATATTTAGGAAGCCCAAATATGAACCGAATACAGAGATTTTGGAGGCGCTCAAGCTTGTTAAGTTGCTCCGCGGTGATATCAAGATAACAAATGTCAGCATAGTCAAGGATAGGGAGTAGTAAAGATTGTGCAAGCGTAATTTTGGTGGAAATGCAAACATTTTACGGATCACTCTATTAATTTGGGGAGTCCAAGAAAGACTGGAATCCAAAAGGATACCTAAAATTATTGACAACGACCAATAATGTGATTTACTGTATTTTCCATACCGTGGCTCCTCCTCCTAGATTTTCAATAACGCCGTAATAGTACTATGACCAGATCTAAAGCCAGATTGTATAGGGTTGATGATGTTATTTCTTAAACAAAAGAAATTAATTTGTTGTTGCACAAGGCGTTCGATGACTTTGGAAAGAATAGGAAGAATCGAAATAGGACGATATTTATAAAAACTTGAAGAATTTGTTTTTTTGCGTATAGGTATGATTTGGGCGTCCTTCCATTGGTTAGGGAAAGAAGATAAAGATACGGAAAAGTTTAAAAAATAGGTTATAATATGTGTTAAAAAATCTAACAAGGAAATGATCATTTTACAACTGACGTCATCACTTCCGGCAGCGTCAGAATAAATAGAGAGAATGTGTTTCCTGACATCACAATCTGCAAATTGCCTAAACACAAATGGGGAAAAGTCAGGAGTGGGAAACGATGAAAGTTGAGTAAGTGCTGTTGATTTTGCCACATTATTCAAGCAAGAAACAGAAGAAAAATGCAGATTAAGTAAATTTAAATCGACGTTATTTGGTATAGGGCATGAACTTGTTTTACGAACTCCTAAGGACCATAAAAAGTTCAAAACACGACATGGATCTTCGTTTTGTACTGATTTATGGATATGCCGGCGTCGTAAGACTCTATACATCTTGTTGCATTGATTCCGCAGGAGTCTGTACTTCCCCAAATCCTGTAATTTAAGTGGATCTGACCAGTAAGTCGACTTTGCGTTATTCTTCCTAACTATCAATCTTTTAAGATCTTAAGTCAACCACGGGGCTGGAGGATGACGTATTCACACTGGACGAACAGGAGCATGTGTATCAGAGAGCTGAACAAGAAGTGAAATAAACAATGCTACCTGTTCGTTAACAGAGCAAGCCTTTGTTAAAACACACCAGTCCATATTAGCAGCGTCTTTTTGTAACTTTTCCAAATGCATTTCCTTAAAAATTACGCTGCAGAAATATTCTTGATTTAGTGTTCGGTGGTTTTATTTTATACGATAGAAACAGGAGGTCATGATAGGAAAAGGCGTTGGCAGTACATTGACCAAATTTATCAACATGGTCGAGAGAAGAAACGATAACGAAATCAAGGTGGGATGGAATACAGTTAGGAATAAAATGAGTTTCAGAAAGAGGAAGAATATTTAAATTGCTTGCTTCTATAAGGGACTTAAACCGAAGAGATCTGGCATCATTCTTAAGAAGACTAGTATTAAAATCGCCCATTAGCACTGTATGTGTATATAATGGAGTTACCTCTTCAAGAAGGTTATCCAATGTAGTAAAATAGTCAACTGTGAAAGAAGGACTATAAAAAACTCCGAGAAGTTACTTGTTGTGCGAAAGAATTACTTCAATAAATAAGTATTCCGCTTCGTTCTCAGCTAGAAATTGAGATGATAAACGAACAATAGAAAAAGGTATCTGCGCACGAAGGTAAATGGCAGTTCGGTCGTTGCGTATTAACTAGAATCCTGGAATGGACTAGGACATGGATAGATGACATGGCTTTAACCATGACTCCGAAATGATAATTGCATGAACGTTATCACTTACAAAGCTAGCTAACATATCGGGATAATGAGCCGGAATACTCTGTGCATTTATATGAACTATATTGAAGTTTTTAGAGCTTGAGAAAAATGGGAGTCAAGAATATCTTTTAATGGAGGAATGCTCTCAAAGATGTCATCATTACTAAATATCGGATGCTGAAATGAAAGAAAAGGAGCTTTCATTGACATCACTTTCACCAAAAGACATGTTATCTTTTAAAACAAGAAAAAAATACAAATAATTCTTTCTTGATTTAAAACTGAAAATAGTAGCTGGTCCCGAACGAATTGCCAATATATTAGCCTCCTATTTCACCTTGAAAGCTATTTTCTAAAGAGAACCACGCGAAACGCCATTTCGATATAAACTAATCATAACATAATTACATTTCACAAAAAGTATACAAAAGACTATAATAAAGCCATATAATGCACGATTCTAAGTTAATTCAAACATCTATTTCTTTATGGAATTGAAACCATTTATCTTTAGTATAAATTTAACTTATTAATTGGAAAATATGGATATAATTTTTGGAAATATTAACTCGCGACGCCAACAAACGTTATAAATAAGAAAGACGTCTACGTATATTCAGTAAATCGTGTGTATGTATAGAAGAAGAAATTTAATAAAGTTTTTAAACATAAAAATAAAAGCAACAAACAAAAATAAAGGCAAAAAGCCTATTTTGCTGTAGAGAGATCCTGAAAATAAGGAATGGCATATATTTCATCAAAATTGTATGAAATTAATTGACCTTTTATTTCTTTTCCAAATTACGACATAAAAAGGGCTAAATGAATCAATACGAGTAGTAATCTAAAAACCACAGTCTTCTCAAGATGTCAAGTCGTCAAAAGTCAACGTCCCGGTTTTGTTTAGAAATAATTAGGTATCTACGATTAAATTACTTGACTTACTTCGTTTGCTTTCTAATTTAATCCTTAAAATAACCCTAGCGGTGATAATTACTATGGTATAGAATAGAATATTTCTATTTAATGTATAAATAAATATATAAAAATGATTTTTTATATTTACACGAATAATAGACATTTAACAAAGCAGATTTTACGGATTTTATCGCGGTTATTTGAACTTATTTTTACTAAATATTTTTACACATTTTCAATTAAACGTGATAAAATCCGTAAAGTTACCCTTAATCGTAAAATTAGCTTTATTAAATACGTAATACGTGGTCTCTTCTCGTGGTCCATCAAGAAAAGCGGCAACATTCTATTAAAGAACTACAGAATTCCCCTTTTGGATGTATCTGCATGTTGTTTTCGAGTGTCATAGTTTATCTTCTCGCATGCTCTTTTTACGACTTTTAGTAACACGAATAAAGTTTCTGAAAAGATATTATAACCAAAATAAAAATAAACATACTTCCTTGGGTAAATTGTACCATAAGAATGAAGAGTACAAGTTGCCGATATGCTTATATTTTGTCTGTGTAAACTATAAGTGCTTAAGTGTTAATATATGGTTCAGATATACTCTTTGTTAGAAAAGGATCCCTATC